GGGGGGAGGTTTATTAAACGGCGATCTCGTGGCGTGCAGCGGCAGCCGAGTCAGAGTATCGGCATGAGGCCGACGGGGGAGGAGAGAGGGAGAGGGGCCCTTCTTCTGGGAATGAGGCGTTAAGCAGCTCGGGGCGGGGCGGGCGCGCCCGTGTGCTGGACGGGATTGAAACAACAAAGACAGCGCGAGCAAGAGCAGCAGCAGCAGCAGCAGCTCTTGCTCGCCAAGATTGGTGAAAGTCGTCGTCGTCGCAGCGCGCGCCACACCAAAAGAGTCCTTATTTTCTGGAAGGGCGATGCTTGCTCGGGGGCCTTGATGGGCGCGGCGCTGCTTGGACCCTCCTGAAGAAGAGGCTGCTTGCTGGATGAGCTGTCTGCCAAGCCCGCCTCGCCTCGCCCCACCCCGCCCCGCCCTCTCTTAGGAAGCACCCTACAAGTTCCCGCCCGGGCTCTCGCGTCGCGCCGGATAAAGTATCGGCGCGGCGACCGGAGGCGCTGTGCTCCAGGCGATTGGACAGGAGCGAGTGTGATGGGGTGATCTTCCACCCGTAAAACTGCAGAAACACACACGCACACACACACTGCTCAGATGACCCTGCCTGATCGTAAAATCTCTCCAAAATACGACGCCCCGTTCGGACCGCTACATTTCCCTCACATCTCGATGAGCCGTTCAGGCCCCCCCTTTCCCCCCTTCCTCATTTTCTTTCCCACGACCGATGTCTTGAGCAGCTTCACGTCAAATTATCTGCGAGGAAATGACTCTGATATTGGGGGGTACTGCTCTCACTGCTTTATCTCGGACCCGTTTTCCGCGCGCCCCTCCGCCGCTGACCACCACAGCACACGGCAGTGGGAGACGAAGAGAAGTATCACACGGCGCTTCTTCAACTTACCTTCGGATCCAAATAAGACGAAAATAATTAAAAAAAAAAAACGATTTGCGCCGAACGTTTGTATTGTTTTTAGCTCTTGGTCAAACAAATTGGCACACGAGGAACGCACGTCTCTGACGAGAAGGGGGGTGCGGGTGGCGTGCACGACGAAGGGCTTGCATCAGCGTCGCAGCGTGAAGACGAGACGCGTCGCCGTGCTCTGTCGTGTCGCCCTGACGTTGTCTCGTCCAGATCTCCCCAGGCGCCCCTAGGCCCCTAGTGGGAGGGCGGGGCCACGCGCTCCGCACGGGCTCTGTCGTGGGCCTCGCGCGTTCAAGTCTCTGACGACGGAGGAATCCGCGGCTCGGCGCCACATCGCGACCCTCCATCCGGCTAGATAGATGCGCTTGTTCAAGGTACACTGAAATGCGAAATGCGCACTGAAAATCCAACAGTTATGTACGCACAAGGAAGAGTGTACTTGCCATATGGGACACGCGAAAAGAATTGTGTATTTACCGTAGTACACACAAACTAGTGTGAGCTTTACCGTAAGAAACGTACTTACAATGTGCTTGTGTACTATGGTCGTAAATACACTCTTATGTGTGCTTGCGAGTACACTCTTCGTATTGTGAACGAAGTTACTTAGTACACTGTCCGTGTTTGCACCGACTGGCGCGTGTCATATTTTTTTTTTTTTAGAACTTCTTTTTCCTGTTGGTCCGGAACAAGTGATTGAAATCAAATGAACAAATGAACTCCAGCTCAATAATGAGACACTCGCCAGTGATAATGCTCGCCCCTTACTCGTCGCCTTTGACGTTCAATGATAAACCCCAATGAGCGCGCTATAAGCCAATATATAATGACGGCAAACACGCGGGCGTCGCGGTTGCGAAATGGCATCGTACTTGAGTTTGATGATAACAACAGAACGCAAAGCAGTGCCAACAAGCGATATACCTCCCACCGACCGACCGCTGCTCTAGCGCGCACGCACACACACACGCATACAAGAAGGCAAGCACACGCACGCTCTCACACACAAACAGGACAATTGACTCTCCGTGGAGGGAAGGGGTGTGCGCCGGGGGACGACCCAGCGGGAGGATGTCCACCAGACAGCCACCGTAAAAGACGCCAAATGGAGACATTACTTGGAGTGTTTATGCGTACGCTCTCCTCC